AACGGGGAATCCCCGTATGTAACGCCTAAATACGGGCTGAAACCTTCGCTCCATTAAGGGCGATGTTGTTGTTTTTAGGAGGAAAATATATCCATCCCTCATCTGTCGTCCCACGAGCGATGCAAAACGCCGTGTTGCGCCCGTCTCCCCACCACCCAGCCCAGCCATTGTGCGCCAGGAGAGGGCTCGATTCCTCCGCCTGGAGAGGCTGAAGACGCGCCACCTTCCCCCCCACACACATCCACACATTCGGGCGCGCACGTTGCTGGGCAAACCGAAAACATGTCGTCGTCCTGCTTCTTCGCCTTACCTCCTCCTCAGCGCGCAGACAGCAGCAGCCCGAGAGCCCCCGCGCCCCAATTCCTGCCGGCGAGCCGAACAGCCGCGCGCGCCCCGCGTCGCCAAGAAGCAGCTCCTCCTCACCATAGTCAAAAGTTCCCCGGGAAGCATCGCCCCGGCGCGTCGCTCATGGTCGCCTTCTTCCACAACGCGACCGCGTCCCCGAAGCTGCCGTGGGCTCGAGGCCGCCGCCTCCTCCTCCTCCTCCCGCGCCGCCAAGTGTCACTTTCCCCAAACCGCTGCCATGCGCCGCGCTGCCCGGGGAGGAGGTGGTGCCCCTGGCGCGCACCCGCCGCGCCCGCCTCTCTCTTGCTCCGCTGCTTTCTGGCGCCCTCGCAGCCAAGAGCCCTCGAGGGCCCGGAGCGCGGCAGCCAGCCTCGGCAAGCGTCCCTCCTGGGTCCTGGTTTCCAGGGCCGGCGGCGGCAGGCAGAGGCAGGCAACAAAGCAACAGATCCGGGGTGGGCGGGGGGAGAAAGAAAAGCTTTGCCACTCCAGAGCAGGACAGCTGTTTCACCGAGTCTCTGCAGCAGGAAATGCCACAAGACTTATATCCAACCACATCAGGAAGAGAGAGCGAGAGAGACAGAGAGAGACACTGAGAGAAAGAGGGGTGGGGTGGCGTATAAAATCCGGGAAGGATTAATTCAGTTCGGGATCGGATTTGGTTTGTAGTTTGTTTGTGCGCGCGCCCGCGCGTGTTCGACGTCTTCCTGGTTTTGCTGGCTAATACAAGAGGCAACAGGGGAGAGCACAGTGCCAGAGTGAAGCTACGTTTAGCCGGGAGTAGCACAGAACGTCTCCATATACTAAAGGATTGTGATTATGATTATTGTTATTATTATTACTACTACTACTACCAGAGATTGCCCCTCCCCCAGAATTTGTGGCTCTCTTTCTGTTTCTCTTTCAGATGCTTTCAACAGAGCAGAAAATAGGAGAGCAGACTTGGGCAGCCAAAGAGCCTGCTACCCCCTGCTGGACGGCCAGCGTCCAAATACTGGCCTTCAATTAAAATGATGAAACCATGGAGGGGAAATGAAGGCGGCATAAGCAGAAAGCTCTAGGCACAAGGGGAAGCAGCAGGGGAGAGAATAATCCTGTTGATGGTGATATATCACTGTCTTCTTCTTTTTAAGTGTTTTCAAAGGTGGCACAAGATGAAGCTGTTCTCAGATCTAGTCCTGGACAGTGCTTGGATGGAAAGTTAATTGAAGACCATATTTAATCCACTCTGAGCAACGTGCAAGAAGAGTGGGATAGAAATGCAACATATTGCATACGTGTGCAAATCCCTTTGCTAGATTTGTGTAGTTGTCACTTTTTGTGTGTGTCACCTCATGGTTCTCTGGATGCCTTTAACAGCAGTTTAAATGGAACAAACTAACCAACAGAGCTTTACCGTATTGATAGAATCATTATGCCCAGGTATAATTTCTCTGGGAAAAGGACATTTGTAATGAGCTTCCCCCAGTGAAAAAGTCCATCTGCTCTGAGAACCTGGAGGACGAGTTGGTCCAGATTAATTTTCTTTAGGCCCCTTTGTTTAAGCTGCATTAGATAATAGATAATAATAGATAATAGATAATTTATTTATTGTCATTGTCCGTATATACACAGTATACACAACAACGAAAATCAAACACCCACTCGAAGACCGGGTTCACATACACATTTGCACGTATCTCCAACACTCTCATCCTATTCAGACATAATCTATAAAAACATATCATACTCCAGAATGTAACATAACCTATTAAAAGCATAACATAACCTAAAAACCTGTCTCATTCCTTCCTACTCCCTGCTTGCTATTCCTTGCAACTGGCCCTGAGATCATTATTTAGTGCAATCAGAGCTCTTGGATAGAAACTATTCAGAAGGCGTGTGGTTCGTGTTTTCATTGTCCTATATCTTCTGCCCAGAAGGCAACAGTTCAAAGAAGTTGTGAGCAGGATGGGTGGGATCTCTCAGGATATTGTGTGACTTCTTCAAAGTGCGAGACGTGAAGATCTCATCCAGGGTTGGTAGTTGGAGCCCAATAACATTCTGGGCAATTTTAATTATTCTCTGTAAAGCTTTTTATCCGTTTCAGAGCTGCTCCCATACCACGATAATATACTATATGTTAAGACACTCTCGATGGTACTGTGATAATAGGACAGAAGTAGGTGCTGAGATAGATTCAGTCCCCTGAGCATTCTCAGGAAATACAACCTCCCCTGCACCTTCCTCACAACCATATTAATATTTGCAGTCCATGAGAGGTCCTCAGAGATGTAAGTGCCCAGGTATTTAAAACTACCAACCCTCTCCACCTCCTCGCCATTTATGTGCAATGGTAAAAATACGCTTTTCTTTCTCCTAAAGTCAATTATGAGTTCTTTGGTTTTTTGGTGTTAAGCATAAGATTGTTTTCTTTACACCATTGAATTAACCCCTGTACTTCTTTCCTATAAGCAGTCTCATCGTTCTCACTAATGAGCCCCACCACTGTTGTATCATCCGCAAATTTGATGATTGTGTTGGACTCATACAGTGGGGTGCAATCAAATGTGTACAGGGAATAGAGAAGGGACTTAGCACACATCCCTGAGGGGCTCCTGTGCTTAATACTAGAGTAGAAGAATAGTAAGGGCCCATTCTCACTGTCTGCGGCCTATCAGTCAGGAAATTCCTTACCCACAGACAGATATTCTGATGTATACCCAAATTGGTCATTTTAAGAAATAACCTGTCTGGCAGAATTGTATTGAAGGCAGAACTGTAGTCCACAAACAACAGCCTTGCGTAGGTTCCCTGTCGTTCTAGATGACTCAGTACAGTATGGACAGCGATGGAAATAGCATCATCAGTAGATCTATTTCTTCTGTATGCAAACTGGAACAGGTCTAGAGTGGATGGAAGACCAGCCTTAATATGATCTAGCACCAATCTCTCAAAACATTTCATAACGACAGATGTTAAGGCTATTGGTCTATAGTCATTGAGAGATACCACCACTGACTGCTTGGGGACTGGCACTATAATCGATGTCTTCAGGCAGGTAGGGACAGAACCCTGCAACAGGGATAGATTAAAAATGTCCGTAAACACACCAGCTAATTCTACAGCGCAGTCCCTAATAGCCCGTCCCATGATTCCATCCGGTCCAGCTGCCTTCCTAATGTCAATGCTCCGAAGGCACGTTGTACGTCACAGGTCTGTAATAAAAATGGTTGTCTATCAGTAGTAGTTTCTGATGATGTGCTGGTAGCCAATGCTGTAGTGACAGTAGTTCCAGTTCCCACCTCAAAGCGACTAAAAAATTGATTCAGTTGATCAGCCAGGTGCGCACTGCTGCTAGCCAGTTCGTTTTTAATATTTTGCCCTGTAATTTGTCGCAGGCCTTGCCATACTCGACGAGGGTCGGAGCTCTCAAAATGTTTTTCGATCCTCCGGCAGTACATAGCTTTGGCGTTCCTAATGCCCTTTTTCAATTTGGCTCTGGCTTCTCTATACTGTTGCGCATCACCAGAGTGAAAAGCAGCATTTCTTGCCTTTAACAGAAGATACACATCCCTGTTTAGCCAGGGCTTGTTGTTAGGGAACACCCGTATTTGTTTGGTGGTAGTGACAACATCAATGCAGCTTTTAACGTAGAACAGTACTGTTGAAGCGTATGTGTCCACATTATTCTCCACAAAGAGCGACCACTCGGTGCTCCGAAAGCAATCTTGAAGTTGCCCAGATGCACCTACTGGCCACACTCGTATCTCTCTAGTTGATGGTCTAATTCTGCGTACGAGAGGTCTATATGATGGTATCATAAGTAAAGATATGTGGTCTGACTGCCCCAAATTGGGCAAGGGCTTGGTCTTGTATCCATGCATGATGTTACTATATACTCGGTCCAGGGTATTTCCCCCCCTAGTGGGACAATCAACATACTGGTGGAACTTAGGGAGCACAGTTCTTAAATCGGCTCGGTTAAAATCACCAGCAACCACAAATGCTCCATCCGGGTGGGCCCGCTGCTGTCTGCTAATAGCAGTTAGCAGGTGGCCCATAGCTGTAGTAGTGTTTGCATCGGAGGTATATACACCGCTGTTATTATAACAACATTAAACTCACGTGGCAAATAAAAGGGCGGCACTTCACCACTAGGTACTCCAAGTCAGGAGAGCAATGCGTGTCCATTTGTTTGATGTCCGAGCTCCAGTTGTTATTTATATAAACGCAAATTCTTCCTCCTCTGCTCTTCCCGGATTCGGCGGTTCTATCCGCTCTAATTACTGAGCGTCCTTCTAGCTGCAGAAGTCCCTGTGGAAAGGAGGGATCCAGCCACGTCTCTAGAAGGACCATAACACAGCAGTCCCGGATACTTTTCTGCCGAGAGGTAATAAGTTCCAACTCCTCTACCTTGTTGGTTAAGGATCTCACATTTGATACAAGGAGACTTGGCAATGCAGGCTTGTGGGGATTTTTACCTAGCCTCACTCGTAGACCAGCCCTGCAACCCCTCTTCTGCTTGCGCCCCCTCCGTTTTCTTTTCTTTCTGGCAAGGAGAGCAAGGGGAGTTACCCAAGAATGTGCAAAATATGGAGGCTCTCTGATAAGCTCAGCTGGAATGTTATAGGTTGAGACCTCCTGGCTGCAACCTTCTCCTCTGCCGATACTTAAGACATTATAGCTAGACATGGCTATATATACATGACAAATGTATATTAGTTATTTAAAAAGTGACAAATGCCTGCTTCCTGTTCTTGGGATCTGATGTCAGAACTTTAATGCACTCTGGAGACTAAAGGCATCACACCTGTACTCACGTATTTTCTGTCACCTGTAAATTATAACAGTAGTGCTGGCATCCACTACGTGGACAGGGTGTGTGCATTGGCTTTGTGGCAGTCCACTAATCTGTAGGCTAAGATGCAAATCAATTGATCACAGTCATTTCTACTCTGTCTCTGGAATTGGCTCCGATTTAGAAACATCTTGTCTAGTGAAGCAACCAGGAGCAGGGTGGGCAGATAGATGGAAGGAAGTCAGCCCTGAGTGCTCACTGGAAGGACAGATCGTGAAGCTGAGGCTCCAATACTTTGGCCACCTCATGAGAAGAGAAGACTCCCTGGAAAGGACCCTGATGCTGGGAAAGATGGAGGGCACAAGGAGAAGGGGACGACAGAGGACGAGATGGTTGGACAGTGTTCTCGAAGCTACCAGCATGAGTTTGACCAAACTGTGGGAGGCAGTGAAAGACAGGAGTGCCTGGCATGCTCTGGTCCATGGGGTCACGAAGAGTCGGACACGACTAAACAACAACAGTCTACTGTGGAGGGACTCATTTGCCTACAAATTTCATACACTTGTGCTAAAAGGAGAAAGAAGTTAAAGCTGTTTTTAGATCCCCCACTATAGGGAATGGGGATAAAACAGAGCTTCAGATTTAACAGATCAGATTTGGACCTCAATAAAAAGTTACAATGAAATGACAAAGAACAGATCTGAAACAGATTAGGCTGCTTCCAAACGCCAGAGATAAAAATACAAGGTGAGTCTTGTGGCTGCTACAGACCCATAGCGCTCGCTCTCTCTCTCTCTCTCTCTCTCTCTCTCTCTCTCTCTCTCTCTCTGGGATTTTGTTCTCTTGGTGCTTGTCCCTCTCTCCTACACCCTGTCAGATAATATACGGTACTCTGTTGGCTGCACACCCTGCCTCCCCCTCTTCCCCTTGGTCTGTTGTTTTTTCTGTTGTTGCACCCCTTCTCATTGCTTCCATTCAACCCTGCAAGATCTGGAAATGAGGTTGCGCAGAAATTCTCAGACCCAATCTATTTATTTACATATGTATTTTCCCCATCCTTCAACTATAAAAGATTTCCTACAGCAGCTAACAATTAAAGCCATCAATGTAAAACCACATTCACCTCCCTAAAACAATTCACCAACAGAACATTATATACCTGGTACCAAAAAGATAACAGAGTGGGTGGCTGATGAGCCTCTCTGGGGAAGGAATTCCAACAAAGGGCCACTGCTACCAAAATAATCCCAAACCAGGGTCACCACTTACCTAGAGATGGGCCTCAAAAGGGTCCAGGCAGGTTCATGTGCAAAGAAGTCAAACAGGAGGTTCCCTGGTCCTAAGCCTTGATTCCTCCACCTGCCACATGATAATGGGCTTGCAGACCAGGCAGGGGTCCCCCAGGCTTCCAGACCTGGATAGATTGTCCCTTTACATCCACACATGCTTGGGCCCTATCCCATGATAAAGTAAATATAATTTTCTGGGAGGCAGTTATAAAAATAAACTGCATCAAACCATTGTTTTACTTTTTGATCATTTCTGAACATACGAGCCAACGTTCTTAATCAGTCGCCACTCAGAAATAAATATCTTATTTCTATGACTTTTTAAATCTCATTATATATGTGGATCATGTTGGTCACACTCTTCCCAAATGGTCAGGAGTAAATGCATACTTTAAAAATGCAGTTTGTTTTCAAACTGTATCCTACATATTAACACTATCAAAAAATACTAACAGGATTCCCATAAGTTATAACCTGACACTAACAGGCCAATCTTATACATGCTTACTCAGGAGTACAAAGGAGGAGAAACTTGGTAGGTTCAGATTGTGAAGAATACACAATCCGAAGCACAGCTATCCTTCTAAATTTGCACTCATCTGAATTTTGTGTTGAAGTTTTCCAACCAAACAATGAGTGCAAAAATACATAAATTGCGGGAAAGCATGCACATAATGCATGTATTAGTGGGGGGGGGGTCGGCTTGCAAAAGTGTGCATATCAGGCAAAATTGCATACAAAATGTGTATATTAGGAGAAACGCACACTTAAGTGCTAATGAACTTTCATGAGGATTTTAAAAACAAATTGCAAACTGATGAAGAAATGTGCAGAAGTCAATTTAAGACTGGGGAAAAAATAGAAATTGCGAGACACTAAAATTGACAGATGTATTGATCTGCTTCCAGACTGTTGCTATTTTTGGTTAGAATTTAATCACAAACCTGCTTCTTCAAAATATGAAATTTTTTTATGATTAGGAAAGTAGCAGGAAAAGTGTGGTATAACACTTGGTGTGATGCAGTGTCTCTTAACCTCCCCACAAACAAATTGGAAAGAAGGCTCAGTAATAAACATGTCATCTGCAAGTACCCTAAGTCTAATTGAGCGCAATGGAGCTTACTCCCAACTAGGTTACTGGGTGTAGGATTGCAATATAAGGCAGCCCCATAAGGTAGTCCAACTTGACTAAGTTGTTTTGCCTTCTGCAAATTTTAAATTTTAGCTCTGCAATTTCAGTCTAAGCACTGGGCAAACTTAGAGACATTTGAAGGAAACCACTGTTGTAAATTAGTTTTGACTTTTCCCCTCTCCTGGAATAAGCAGCAATCATATATGTCATATTAAAGGATGAAGAGAAAAGCCAGGTATGACTGCAGAAAATAATGAAACTGTAAAAGTAATCAAATGATGAATCATATGAAAAAGGGATCAAAGGACTTCAATACCACACTTGTATCAGTATAACTGACATGAAGAGATCTCTGCAACCACAACTCTATTGATTAAACAATCTATTGGTAGTCAGCTAATTAAAATACTTTGCAATAGGTTTCGCGGCTGTTCATGCAGTGAAAAGTATAATAGTTCAATAAATCAAGTGGATTACAAATACAGCAGCCTCCCAGCTACCCCCCCCATGCAATACAGTTCTTAATGGAACAAAACCTTGTATTTCTACCTTTAAATGTTTTCGGATGAACTTATTGGCTAAAACGCTTAAAGGCATCATTCAAGCAAAGTGGATGTTTTGTAAAAGGTATGGATACGTGCCTCTTCTGAGCTCACAAGCCAAGGGAAATCTGACCTTCCTTGTTGGTTTATTTTAGCCTTCAGAAAACATATAGTGGTATCTTGGTCTCTTAATTGCGAACTTGCTGCAGCTCTCAGGTGTCAAGGGAAGGAGGAAAAAAGCCACAAACAACCTTCCAGTGTCCCCAGAGAGAGCAGTTGACATAAGCCAGCTCCCTAAGGAGATGTAGCAGTTTTTGTCTGCTTAAGACAAAGGCAGCAGTTAAAAAGTATGGCTTAAAATAGGTCATACAAGCCACACAGAATTGAACAAACAAGTAGAAGCCAAGGCTTCACACCCACACACCATATATTTAAAGCACAGGGCTTCCCCCACAGATTCCTGAGGTCTGTGGTTTACCCCTCGCAGTGTTATGGTTCCTGGCACACTTGACAATGGTTCCCGGGATTCTTTTGGGGAAGTGTATGGTCTGCACACAGCCTTACAGGGGATACATCATCAAAGAACGGCACAGCTGCCCATCTCCAATATTGAAAATAAACACAATGCTTTTCTACCCAACTTCAGGTGTTATGCTCAAGTTTTTATTCAACATGTGGGAGTCAGTGATGACAAGTGTGCCGGCTCTGCCGCCATCACCATTCCTGAGATCTTCCAACTTATAGAAGAAGAAGAAGGTCTTTAGTGGAGAACCTTTTATATCCATGATGGTTCACCACAGCTTTTAGAACCTTCTGGAACACACAGGGAGCTGCCACAGATACAAAAGACTCCTTTGCTGCAGAACTTTGTCTTCCTGTGTTGAACCAAAGGCGAACTGTTGCGGGAGCTTTGCTAATGCCATCTTGATAGTCAAGATAACCTCAGAATTAATTGATAATTGTTGTAGTAATGAGCTCATATATGTTTACATCCACTTGCTTTGATAAAAGCTAATTGGCCTGCTTTGATGCTATCCTTATCTGTGGGCTTGGGGGGTTGGGCTCTGAGCCCAGAAAAGGGAGCTAACTATCTAAGATTTGGGTATTTACCACCAATGATGCCCTCATCTCGTCAGGTGGAGAGATGGGAAGTCCTGGCCAAACTGACATATGCTCCTTTGTGTATAAAGAATGTATGACTGTCTGCTTGTGTGTGGACAAGCCATCTCCTTGCTGCGGTGTCCGTCCCATGTCTGCAAAGGCTAGGAGACCTGGCAGGTGGCTTTGCTGTAAGTTCACACCCATCTTTAATACAACACAAGAACCGATCACTCTGGCGTGGTGGAACAGACACAGAAAGAACCACCTCTGAAACAGGCCAGAAACAGACTGAGCCATCCATCCCTACTTGAGGGTGTCTTCCCTAGCAGGAACCAAAGTAGATGATAAAGGTTCAACATGGTACACTTACTCCTAGTATTTGGTATCTTATTGCAATGAAACTAAGGTCTAATTACATTTGGCAGTACCTTTATACTGAATTACTAGTCAAATTATACCTTGTGTCCCTTCCTTTCCTAAATCTCCTGAATAGCAACACCCTTTATGCAGGTAGTCATATTCATTCTGATTTTCCATGCACATCATAACTTTTTGATTTATGAACTTGGAACTGTCACCCAGAAGATGTGTGGCACACCCCCCCCCCCGGTGAAAGAATGAGATAGTAGATGGTATGCCAATAGCACTATAATAACAATGAATCATACAATACAGGGTGGAAGTGCTTCCAAATCATTATTAGATATATTTGTACATATATATATTACAACTTACTTTATTATTATTTAGGCACAAAGCCAAATCATCCATAGTAGAGTATGACACCTTTCGCATCTTTTATGCTCAGCCCATAAATCTTCTGCCTTCTTTTGGGATCAAGTTAAGTATCTGCTTGACTATTATAATTAATCTTCAGCCTGCCAGAATACTGCTGTCCTGGCTCATGAGCAGAACAGTTGCCAATGGGAATTGGAAGCGCTCAAGAAGACAAAACTTTAAATATTAGTCATTCCTGCCTAGGCTGAAGGGCAATGGTGGCCCATCTGTGCAGGAGAAGGGGGATTTCTGTGTTATTATTCATTTTGACTTTTTTCTCCAATAAACAGCTGTGCATATGACTGAGCAAAGCCTTTGCCACAATTTCTATGAAGAAACTTATATATATATATAACCCCTTCATGTGCGTTGTCACCAGCATAGCAAGAATTATTATATTCCAATCCACTTCTTTACTTATTTTGGAGGAAGATCCCATTCTCCCATTTTCTAAGACCTGGTGTGGTGAAGTGGCTGCGAACAGAGAAATCCTCAACCCAAATCTCACATCTGCCATGAACTCAGTTTCATCTGAGGTGCTCTTTCATAATATGGGAATAATACTACTGACTGAAGTATTAGGCCAAGGATTAATACAAAAATGATGTTGCAAGGATTATTGAGGCAACTCACGTGAAGTGCCAAGCACACACTCCAATGTGTTATAACCAAATCCAGCATTTTGTGTGGCATATGCCATGAACCTCCCCCTTGATACTCAAATGTACAGCATTAACTTCAGTAGAATTGCATTATATTTCTTATTATATAATTATTAGTGCATTTGTTTTGGAAACATGCTTTTTTTTAGAAACAAGCTGGCTTGTGGGCTGCGAGTACTTGGGAACAAAAAAATACTTTGTATGAAGCAAAGTAAATACATAATAAATACAGGGGCAACAGGGTTTCTTTAAGCAGGATTGACTTAGCAACATATCTTTTCTTAGGGTTGCCATATTTCAAAAAGTGAAAATCCAGGCAGAAAAGTTGTTGAGCTTCTTCAGGCAAAGTTGCTGAGCTTTTAAAACAACTTAAAACAAGACATAACAAAATTACATTTGCAAACTGGGATTTTCATCAGGAGCTACATTTTTCACCCCACAAGGCAAAATTTGTGCATACTTTGGAAAATTGCTTCTTTGAAGTGCAAGCCGCTTTATTTATGAAGTGCAGGCTGCTTTATTCTATTTCAGCTCAGTATTTGGTTTTTTCCTTTTATAAGATTGCATGCTTCCTTTAGTAGAACTTGACCGCAGAGAAGATGTATCAATAATGCTTGAAGAATAGGGCCTGAGAGCAGCTATTTTCTTTTATGATTATGCGTGTTAGTAGGGTTCTGCACCAAATGGCCATCTTATTTGTGAGTGATTTTAAAAAACTTTTAAAAAAGGTTTTGAAGGTTCATCCACAAGAACTGCTAGAGCAAAAAATAGGAAAAAAAGGATGAACTTTTGAATCTGGTGCACATAACCTAAGAATAGTGGCTGGTGTCTTTTGAACTACAGTGTTACACAACGGAAAATAATCATCATCACCATCTTTATGGTGGAGTGGGGATTTGAACATGGTTCACTCCAGCCTTAGCGAAGCACTAAATACTATCCCACCCTGGCTATCTCCAGGCACTTGATTCAGTGTCCTTAATATGAGACAATTTAAACTCTAAATGAGACAAAAGAGATACTCAAGCAATCAAAGTTCTCTGAATCAGAGACTTTTGATTTGGATCCAGAACTCCATATCCAAACCCGAATTTCCTTACATTATTCAGAGTGCATTATTTGTTGCTGCTGCTGTTGTTAGAACCAGTTTAGTCTAAGAATCATCGCAGAGCATACAGCAATTCTCTGAGGATCGTTAGCTTTGGTTATTTTTGGCATGCATGAATACATAGGAGCAGAATAATAAGTGCTGCTCTTCTCTTGGGGACTAGGGTGGCCAGTGTAAACACTTTTGTCCATTCCTTAGTAAACAGGCATTAATAAAGTCCCAGCTGCTGGACCCCTGCTGACCTTCACTGAATTTTAAGATGGCCACGGATCCTACTTTACAAAGGACGTTCCTCTGTTTGAACAGCTGTCAGGAGGCAGACCTTCCTTTGAAGGCACCCTCTGTTTGATCGGCAGTCCAGTCTAAGACTGCTTAAAAGGTAAAGAACTGAAATAAGTTTTAAGCTTCTTGGCTTCGAACTGAGAAGAGATGTTTTATAGGCTTTGAAACATAGGAGTTGTGTGTGTGTGTGTGTGTGTGTGTGTGTGTGTGTTTGAAGAATAATCAAACAGTTGAATGGTAAAGTGAAAGCAACCGCAAGAAGGGTCCCAGGATGGAATCTTCAACTCCAGCCCAATATAGTACCGTGGTACCTTGGGTTACATACGCTTCAGGTTACATACGCTTCAGGTTACAGACTCCGCTAACCCAGAAATATTACCTCAGGTTAAGAACTTTGCTTCAGGATGAGAACAGAAATTGTGCTCTGGCGGTGTAGCAGCAGCAGCAGGAGGCCCCATTAGCTAAAGTGGTGCTTCAGGTTAAGAACAGTTTCAGGTTAGGAACGGACCTCTGAAACGAATTAAGTACTTAACCTGAGGTACCACTGTAATGCCTTAGGATGTTCTATACTTACCCATTTGTAACAAAAGGAGTAGGTTTTTTTCTCATTAGAGAACTGTGCACGCTCATCCTCAACATACAGTTTTAAGTCTGGATTCATTCTAGATACTTCCTGTTGTATTCAGAAGTTGTATTAAAAACAAGGACCTGGATTGAGGCTCTACCTGTTAGATCATGGGTAGGCAATCTAAGGCCCAGGGGCCGGATCCGGCCCAATAGCCTTCTCAATCCGGCCTGCAGACAGTCTGGGAATCAGCGTGTTTTTACATGAGTAGAATGTGTCCTTTTATTTAAATTGCATCTCTGGGTTATTTGTGGGGCATAGGAATTCATTCATTCCCCCCCCCAAAAAAATATAGTCCGGCCCCCCACAAGGTCTGGGGGACAGTGGACTGGCCCCCTGCTGAAAAAGTTTGCCGACCCCTGTGTTAGATGAAGCGGTTTATTTTAGAGTGCTTTCCTTGCTCAAAGTTACATGTGGTGTTCTTCTTTCCATAATTGTCTCTAAATCTTGGGATGGACTAATCTACGCTTAGGCCAGTGCATTCTGGAATCCTGGTCTGAATCAATGAATGCATGTGCCATAGACAGTACTCTGCCACCCACAAAGGAGGGTGTGGTTACTTGATATGCATCTGAAAATCCTTCCCTTGATTAGGAGGCAGCAGAAATTTTTGCTTGAGGTGCTCAATCAAGCCCCCGCCCCCCCGGGGGGGGATTAGCCACTCCTGGTTCAGTTTAACATAAATGTTTTAAATAAGCAGACAAATGATATAAAGGTTGTGGTTAAATCCACCTCAATGCAAGTTGAAGTGTAACTTTGAACTTAAAACACTTGGAATAGTACATTAAAAAAAAAAGAATAAACATATGGTGTCCATTTTTTTGCTTCTTCCGGGAGGAATGGCAGACCTGTTTGGAATTCACAGTCCTATACATGTCTGCGCAAAAGTAGTAAGTCCCATGGGCTTTGAGAGACTCTTTTCCCAGGCATGCAGGTATCGGGTTGCAGCCTTTACCAACTCCATTTGAAAACAGTTGCACAGCTTTAAAGGTGAGCACATTGTAAAAATAGGACCAAGGGGCATCTGTCAGAAAGTGACAACTTTGTACATACAGGAAGTGCAAAGGTGTTCCAAGGAAGTTTGTGTTTCCTTGTCAACAGTAACAGCTTCTGCTCTGTGGAGCTTACAATGAAGCTGCAGAAAAAGCAGTTTTCTAGGGTATGTTCTGAATTAAACAGCCACAAAGTTTATATTCACCTGAGATAAATTGTACAGGAGACATTTTTAGGGCAGGCAAATGTTTACTTCACACAGCATGACTTCCTTGTCTTTCAAACCAAAAATAGAGAAAGGGGAAAGGAGAGAGAAATGAACTGTTTAAATTACATGTGTTCTTTCTGGGAAGTGTAAGACAGTTTGAAAACTTAATATAAAAATTATCTCCTTACCTTTAGAAGATATATATTTTTCCCTTTCTGATGGGTCCTAGCCCTGTGCCCTGAGAAACAGTTCTTGCTGCCCTCATCATGACAGAGTAGCCAAAGATGGTCCTAAGGAAGGATCAACTAGCGGCACCCAGGAACATAAACATTGTCCCATAGTTACTGGGGAGGGGAAAATGTGACTCAGTCAATGCTAATTTGGGGACAATATTGCGCCTCACACTGCAGAATGCCAAGAGCTGAGATCATATACTGTTCTCCCGTTTCTCTGAATTGCTTTTCACAGAATTCCCTTCAGATCTTTTGATATGCACAAAAGCTATGCCATGCTAAATTTGTTAGTCTTTCAGGTGCCACAAGACTCTTTGTCATTTCTGCAGCAGCAAACGAGCACGACTCCCCCTCTGGGCACAGTTATGTAAGTGAGCAGAACAAAAGCCTTCCTATAGCTTTTAGCAGCTGGCACAATGTACTTGAAGGGCATTCTGAAGAAACTTTTTTTTTCTCTACGAAAAAGAAGAAGAGAGAGACCTACAAAACTGTTTTTTGTGGGTTTTTTTTGTTTTTAAAGGTAGAAACTCAGTAAAGGGGTGCTTATGTAATCCTGATTTGAAGTGGTTATTTCTTTCCCACCAGGAGGTTTTTTAAGATTCTTTGGAACATTAGTTTAAGGACACATTCCAGCTAGGCTAAAAACACTCAAGGAGGATGCAGAAAAAGAAGGCGATGAATGTGGATAGTGAGAGTCTTTGGCCTGGAGGGAGGCCTGAGGACCAGGAAGTGATGCCTGGGGGTGGGGGGGGCTGCTTTTGCTTCCATCCCACAATGAGATTCCCTATGCCTGATATAAGCTTGTGTATCAGAAATATTGAAGAGTTTACATTATCTCTCTCTGCAGTGAAACTCTCTGAATGAAACTGACCAAACTTCAGGTGAAATCTCTTTCTTTTGTCTGCCTTACACAAGAAGAGAACCCTATGCTGCAAGAATGTAAAGGTAAAGGGTAAAGGGACCCCTGACCATTAGGTCCAGTTGTGAACAACTCTGGGGTTGCAGTGCTCATCTCGCTTTACAGTCCAAGGGAGCCGGCGTACAGCTTCCGGGTCATGTGGCCAGCATGACTAAGCCACTTCTGGCGAAACCAGAGCAGCGCACGGAAACACCGTTTACCTTCCCGCTGGAGCGGTACCTATTTATCTACTTGCACTTTGACATGCTTTTGAACTGCTAGGTTGGCAAGAGCTGGGACCGAGCAACAGGAGCTCACCCCATCACAGGGATTCGAACCGCTGACCTTCTGATTGGCAAGCCCTAGGCTCTGTGGTTTAGACCACAGCACCACCTTTTTCAGGGCAGGAGCTTTTACTTTAACAAGCAAAGCCACTCTGATGAAGCATATTATTTCTTGTCACCATTTGGAGGGGACAGTGTGCCACTCATGATTTGGAGCACTTGGGATGGCAACTTTCTCTTGCTGTGCTTGTCGTAGCACAGGACTAACTCACAAGGCATGTGGCAATTCTGCAAACTGCTGAAAGTTGGATGATGGTGGTGTCAGGAACGTAGCTGCTACCACAATTCTCCCTCACCTGACCTCCACACATTGGTGATGTCGTCTGTGCAGGGACCAGCTGATGTAGGCTTTGTACACACAGTCCACGTCTTTGAAAAAACCTGAATGGTAGGGATTGCCTATTGGGAATGAGCGTCTTTTGTGCTTTAGCAGGTGTGTGCAGATGCAGTTCTCCAGTGAAGATGTCATTCTCCAGCACTTGGAGGTTAAGCATGGCAAGCGGCCAGCACCATTGGGCATGATCCTGAATCTCCAGCCATCTGACCTTCAAGCTTTATGAAGGATGAAATGCTGCACAGGGCTAATGTGATGTCTGAAAAGATTACCATTAAGATCTCCATCTGTTTCAAATCATATGTGATTTTTTTCCCCAGCAGGAACTCACCAGAACTCAGTTCCGGCATCTCTCAGGTGGGCGCCATTGCCGAGGCGTTCATGGCGAGTTCTAGCACCTCTTTTTCTAGAAAATAGCACTGATCTATCCTTTGTCAAATAAATCCCATAGGAAAGTGGTTGGAATATAAGAAGAGCGCTGCTGGATCTGGCCAAAGGTCTATGGGAATCCTGCAAGTGAAACAAGAGTGCAACAGCACTCTTTCCATTCATAGGAAGCTACTATATACAGAAATCAGCATCGTCCACACGGAATGGCAGTAGTTCTTCAGGAGTTGAGGCAGGTAGTCTTTCCTAGCCCTATCTGGAGATGCTGAGGATTGAACTTGGGACCTTTTGGATGCAAAGCAGATGCTTTACCACTGAGCTATGTCCCTTCCTACTCATGGTCCCCTCAAACTGGTATTCAAAGGCATACTGGCTCCAACAGGGAAGGTAGAACATAGCCATCATGGCTAGTAGCCTGCCCTCCATGAATTTGTCTATTTATTTATTTTTAAAGCCATCCAAGTTGGTGGACATCATCACCTCTTGTGGGACCAAATTCTGTGACGTGCAAAACGGCCTAACAAATTCTATGCAGTGGTGTTATGTACTGAGTTGAATAGGATTCAGAATGCAGCAGTCTGATTGGTCCACAGGAGCCACCCAATCCAGCTCCAGGGGGAAGTGAATTCGCAACCTGATTGGCCTACAGGAGAATCCCGGAATTAGCCAATCACGTGGGGCCCATTGTGTAAATAATGTATATAAAGCAGACATTCTGGGGGAACTTCCATTCCTCCTCACCACTATGAGCTGAATAAAGAGCATGAAATCCACTCTCAACTCCGAGTATATTTCAAGTGGCATTCTTCAGCTCTCAGACGGAAAGTGTCCAAGAAGAACTGTATGTGGATGCTGGACCATGTAATTCAGTGGGGGTTTTTTGTTGTTGTTGTTGTTTTTCCTCTTTGGCCATTTTCTTCTCTTCTACAGCTGCTGCTACCACAAGCAGTCACCATCTCCAATGAATATTTATAAAGGAATTTTGCTTGGCTGGAGAGTCTGCTTCCCATAAACAGGCACAAAGGAAGCAGCATCAAGAATGCAGCAAGACATATTCACCTCACAAATGCAAATGGCATGGGCTAAGGAAAAAAACAAGAAGAGCAAAACATACCTCAGACCCTTAACATGTTCTGTTTATTGGTTATGTCAAGTTTATAACCTGCTCTTCCTCCCAAGGAAGGGCATCCAGGGTGACTCACCACAATAATATTACACAAAACATTTCAAAACAACATTTGAATATATCGCAGAGGGATGTTAGAAGTAAAAACTTCATCAGCCCAAAGCCTGGATTAAAAAAAAAAAAAAGGCCCTTCTTGGTGTGCCACCTCCATGAAAGTTCTGGAGGGTAGCAACACGAGAAGAGGCCTTTTCTGCAGTGGCTCCCCATTTGTGAAATGCTCTGCCCATTTTATTATGTGTTCTTATTTTGTATTTTTATCTTGTGAACTGCCCTGTGATCTTTGGATGAAGGGAAGTATACAAATTATAATAATAATAATAATAATAATAGTTTCACAGTTGGTCATAGCAAAGAGAATATCTCAAAAGAACAAAATCAAGGGGAAGTGAGAGGATGATGTGTCCATAGCCTATTGATACTTTTCTGTTGATCTCTAAAGCTGATTTTACCAGCTTTAAAGCTGATTGTATAAGCTCCTTAAGAAAAGGAATGAGCATAGGCTGTTGATTCCAATGTATCTAACACTAGAATTGCAGGGAAATTAACTGTTGCCTAGTGATGTAAAAGCAGTTACTATTAAAGAATTCTGGCAACATATAAATAGAGTCAACAAAACAAATATAAAAGGTCCCATCTGATTTCCTAACCCTATAGAATTATGGTCAGCTCATTACTCATAACCCTATTTATTAGAGCTGTGTAGAAAATGTCCCCGTTTTTTGTTTGTTTGTTTCTTTATCATTCTTCATCGATTAATGAGGAAAAAATGCATTCGAAAATTATCAAGGGGGTAAAAGTTTGGTTCAAAATTCTCAAGGGTGGGGTTTTGTTGTGCTTCCTTTACTTTCAAAGTAAGCCAAAGAATATCTGAGTGCCTTTTTTTTCAGTCTGGAAACCATTTATCTGATGGTCTGCACTTTGCAGCCTTCCTAGGTGCTCACCTTTCCTGAAAACCCCATGACATCTCTGCTGGGCTTTTCTTGGAAACATAGGAAGGTAGGGAAACTGCCTACTTTATTATTATTTTTTAAGTGAAGTCTTTTAAAGTGTGGGAAAGTTGCTTTAAAAATAAGAACTTTGCTTAAATACAGAACTGTTGCTTTGGGTCACTTTCTGTGAAAAGTAATAAATTTATTGTTGCTATTAATTAGTATTATTATTAAGTACCTTTCAGCTTCCCTGGCTTCCCACGCGTCAGTTAAAGCTCAGGGGAAGGCATTGTGGACAACTCCTCCCAAGGGGCTTTTTCAGATTAAGAAGTGTGGACAGCCAGGGACACTGCAGAGTGCTGGGGGAATTACTGGAAAGAAAGCACAAGAAAATTACCCACAGTCACCTCTTAACATTAAAGGAGTGTCAACCCTCACTCTACTTTTGAAGAAGAAAGTATAAAGAAATTGTAAAGCACCCCGAGAATGAGGCAGAAAAATTAAAGCCTCTCTTGCTGGGAAAGGGAGTCAAGGACAGGTTTTGGTACAGCATTCCTTATTTTTGCCCTGGCTTATGACTGAAGATGGTCAGGGCAGGTTTCCCAGCAGTTAATAATTTAGCCCTTTGCGCAGTTAAACCATAAGGCCCTGGAACATGCTTGGCAGTGGATCCATAAAGTCTCAAAGCAACAAGGATCCAGAGTTCCAGCACTGGGTGATGGACAATAATTGTTGGACCACCCACTTTCCAGCCTCTTTAAGCATCTCCACCCTGTTCCATTATTTTGATCACCCCCGCAGTTCATTCTCAAATCCAAGTCTCCCCCTCATTTTGTAAGGTTGCCAGCTGGCTGCTGCCTGCCCTCCCAAGCCTTTGCTGACTGCAGAAGCTGATATAGATTAGCATTTGAAAATGGGAGCAAGATGGGAAGAGGAGCAGCGGCAGGTCAGGGAGAAGTTAGATGAGGTCATGCATGTCATTATTTGCATGAAGCCTTTACAGCATGCCAATGGGCTGCAATCTGAGTATTTTATTTTAACTAATCTAGAGAAGCTGTTCAGAACAGGAGCACATTATGTGCCAATGGGCATGAGAAACACAGAATGATGAAAATATTATTTTGAAGTGTCTTTTTTCAGCCTGAGGGCCACATTGTGTTGCAGAGAACCTTCCAGGGGCCATGTTCCCTTGTGAGGAATAGATATGCTTATTACCTTTGTACAATGTAAACCAGAGGTTTATATACACATCTCTCTTCATCTAAGCAAGCCAGAGGCACAATTACAGTTCAAGTGGCCTAAAGGGAGTCCCAGGTACTGCATAAAGAGCCGAGGCGGGGCACATTTGGTACCCAAGCTTTAAGTTATTCTAAGAAACTTGTATGCATTTGTTCATTTGCCCTGAAAAGGTCTGCTCAAATGTGGTGAGCAACACTGCATATCGACATCATAAAGTGCAGGGAAGTATCTCTCTTGGATGGAAAACATCGCAGCCTTTAAGCCAAGGGATTGTTGACAAAATCCACTGTGTTATACTTCCAGCTTCCATTTGGCCAGAGCCCTGAAAGATGTTGATCTCACAATGCTCAGAATAAAATGTGCATTCAAACCCTTCTACCCCCCCTCCTTCTCCATTTCACACTCCATTTGTAATGATTAATGCTTGCATTCTTGGAGAATGAAAGCTGAAACAGATGTTAGCCAGCTACAATGCCATCTTGCTAACCCCCAGCCAAAGGCTGAAGTCTGCAGCAGATTAGTGGCTGAAGTCAAAATGTGGATAAATACAAAGTGAGTGGACAAGCTCTGAGGGGGGTTATTTCCATAGATCACAATACGGGGGGGGGGGATTAAATGGCAGCTTTCCAGCCTTCAAACCTTGGCGGGGGGACGGGACCTCTCTTACTGCAAAAGCTGCTGTGACAGATTACTTAATACACCTCACAACATGTTTCAAACAAGAGACCCCCCCAAAAAAATACTATTTCAGGCATCCCAATGGAATGGCTATCTCTCTCCAGCACCCCTCTGCCATTATTCTCTGTAGGCGTCAATGAAATATTGCAAACCACAGTTATCCACAATTTGAAGTGCTTTAAAGCCCTAAAGAGTTTAAGGTTATGCTGTTTGAAAGATCACCTGCCTATGAGCCTGACAGGCCCCAAAATCAGCCTCTGAGGTCCTCCTTATGGGGATACCACTAAGAAGTATTAGATTGGCAGGCACAAGAGAGAGGGTCTTTTCGGTGGTGGCCCAATGCCTATGGAAATCCTGCCCTTGACAGGTACATGTGGCCCCTGCATTGACAATTTTTTAGAACAGGCTTTGAAGGTTTCAGAAAACAAAAACACAATTCCAAACTGCGTTTTCTGCTCTTGCATTTCTTTCAAAACTGTTATTTTTGCTGTCTGCTTTTATATTAGTTCTATTTTAGTCTGCTTATATTGCTTTTAACAGCTGCTACAACAGTCTTTTTTGACATTTTGACATGTTATGGTTTGCAGTGTTGTTATAGATTGTGTCTTTACATGTTGTGAGTAGGGAAATCCTGGAAGATTTCTCAGTTTTGGTTTTCTCGGTTTCTCTCAGTCTAAAATTCATTTTTTCCATATTTCTCCATATTTCTGCAGAAATCTGTGGTTTTTATATTTTATTTTTTTAAAAAAATCCCGATGAAAATCCTCAACAGTTCAGTAAAAATTTCTGCCAATAAGCAATTTCTCCTAATATAATGCATCTTGTATGTTGTTTTCAATATTTCATAAGTTTTCATAAAGCTGTATGTAATACCAATTAACTAAGAGAAAACAATACATATGGTTGTATGTTCTATTGTCCTATTGTTCCTTAAAGTGGCAGATGACCTCCAAATCTACCCACTTCCCTTACACCCATTCCCCACAGTTCTCCCCACATACAAACCCCTCTCTCTCCTTTGTAACACCAGAACTATTTATCAAACAAGCACACAGGGGCTGGGAATGTCCCTTGTCTGAAACACTGGAAAAGCGGCCGCTATTCCATCTAGCTAGGTGAACCAATGATAATGATCTGTCTTGCTATAAGCAGCTTCCTGTATCCCTCTCTTCCTAATCTGCATCTTGAAAGATGCTTGTGCAATAGTGAAAATGCATTTAGGAGCATGCCTAAATCCTCTTGGGAAAGTTCACAAGGATACTCTGTGCCAACAAAAGGTTTTGACCTGCAGTGAC